AAGAATGGCAGGTTATTAATCTTATGATATCTTAGCTTCATTGTGGCTTTATGTTGCAATATTCACAAGTTAAACCTTTGCTTTATGCTAAGAGTACTATTCCTTAGTGTGGAAGTGTGTCAAACACATTATCAAAGCTTAGTTTAATTTTCCATGCAATGTTTGCCATATTATTATATAGCCATTTTTGAGTTTTAAATGTCAAAGCTAATTACACTTAATTGACTACATCTTTAATGTCAGTGGTCATTGTTAAGGTACCATTATGTTGCTTCTAACCTGAAATTATTCCCACCCCCCCCCCCCCCCCCCCCCCCCCCGCATTTCCGCAAAATTTATAAACAAATTCTTAGTTACTACTATTAAGTTTTCATTTATTCAAGTAAGAATTTTTTCCTACATTTTTCGCAGTTATTGGGGGTAGGGTATGTTGTCAATGTTTTTTGTGGCTGTGCTGTAAGTACATGGGTTACTATGCCTAATATCAGAGAATGCGTGTGGTCTATATCTTTTCAGTGTTATGGCTTATGTTTTTTATATGATAAAATTAATATTGACTAGATTTTTTTGTGGAAGTTTTTGCCATAATGTGATATGTCATTTAAAGCTTGATATTCCCCCTTTTTTTTTAAACCTTTCGACAAACTAGAGAATAATGTATTTCATTTTTATAAAGATTGTTTTATGATTTAAACTATTTCATTATAAAAGCAAAGTTGTACTCAGCAGGTCTCGAGAAATATTTGCATATAAATACACTGTATTTGAAGGAAGAAAACAATCGTCATTGCTTTCTAGCTGCATTTCCTGGGAGGAAACAAACTGGGGGCTCATCTGGACCGCTGTACTAAGGAAAACTAATAGAATGGAATGAGAAATTTAATCGGTGAAGAATCTTATTAGGCTAAGATGCATGAGAGTATGACTGGTGTTTTTTGGTGGAAGCATAGGCCTGGGAAAAATACTGAAAAAATGTTACTGTTAAGCTGTATGGCATTACAAAAAACCATCTGAGCTCCTGTTGCATTAAATAATCAATACCATCAAAATGTTGTACACTGAGGCAGAGTAAGAACATTTACAGTGTTAACTTGGAGTTTTTTAACCATAAGTTAAAAAAATTATGTTGATTTGATTTTCATGAGTCATTTAGAATAACAAAATCAGGAAATTAATTGCTGCAGTAAATTTTCTTGAGTACAAATAATAATTGTATTAGAAGCAGACATACATAATATTCAGTTTATGTTTAGTGAGATTTTTTTAATTGTTACCCTTTGATGTCGCAACCCCCAATCCTGAGGTGTTTCCTGGTGTCGCAAAATTAAAAAGAAAAAAAAAAATTTCTTATGAAAATGATAGTGAATCTTTTCCCCGATTGTAATGACACCCAAAAAAACGAAAATTTGATGGAAAACTGACGGAATTATGCTCCGCGGAAGTTAGCGACTTCGGCGCTGTTTACAAATCGGCGATTTCGCCCACTTTGAGCCCTATTTTCGGCTAATTCCATTGTTCTAGTTGCCCAAATTCATAGCTATTTTTTTTGAACTCCATTTTTTCTATCGATTGAGTACAAGAAACTGCCCATTTTACCGATTTCAACTACCTAATAATGTGGTCAGAAATTTGCAATTTGGCCAATTTCACGAAAACAAAAAAAATATGTAATTTCAAAATAAGGTCCAGAATGAACAATGCAGACATTCCTGGCTCTAAAATAACATTTTCTTTGCTCATCAGTCATGTCTCCAGGCCCCTCTGATTTTACTCTTGCTTTCTATTTGAATTTTTATTCAAGCAAAAAATAGAAGACTTACTATTATGCAGACTACTGCAATTACTGTAATATTTGTATAAATAACATCAACCCATTCATGACTGCATATTAGAATGGCTAGTTGGACATTTATTGGACAATGGCATCATTTGTTTACTTTGAACATTGGCAAAAATCAAACATTTCCCTACTTTGAGCTCCATTTCTAGGTTCTTTTTATAGTAAAATCAATCAAAGTCACCTCTATTTCTATAACATGTTTTCCATTCTATCAAATGAGACCAAGAAAACGAGAATACAACCATAAATACTATACGAAAATAGACCACAAAGTCGGCATTTTAATTAAAAAAAACGGTCGGAGTTTTTTTTTCTCATTATGCACTGCGTGCTCCAGGATTTTTTTTATATGGTGTATACTGACCACACAGACCCATTCTCTCACATGTGGGCCTACCAGCTTTCTCCTGCTTGATTTGAAGCCGCTAGAATTTATGAGTATATATACGTCAAACACAGTACCTCGTAAGACGTATATATACGGCCGCGACAGTCAAAGGGTTAGATATTAGGCTGAGATAGGAAGAAAAACTTTCAAAATTATTCTAAATAATAAATAAACAGTTCCCCAAAGAAGAGGGCATTTGTACTGGAATGACATACAAGGTACAATCACTAACCAAAAAAAAATATGGATTTTTTTATATATATATTTTTTTTGAACACACCAGCTGTCTCCCACTGAGGCAGGGTGACCTAAAAAGAAAAACAAAAGTTTTTCTTTTTTTACATTTAGTAATTTTTATACTTATACAGAACATATATTAAAAAAATAATTTTGTGCCAAAAATTGCCTTATCTATTACTTTAGGAAGTTAGAAGAATTTTCTTCTGTGCAATATTCTGTATTGCAAAAGTAACAATAAATGCATCTCTTATTTTTGGCTCTTTTCATTATTGTCTTCAGATCAAAAAACTATTATAAATTCATTGTCCACTTCTAAAAAATATATCAATATCGAATATTGTACCCAGACCTCGCCACTGTATTTGTAAACGCACAAGGATCAGACCTCCATGAGCCTTCATTATATTAATGTGACAGTAATAATAATAATGTGAACCCTCATTACACACCTCAAAACTTAGACAATTATATTTTCACTGCCTTTGCTGTCTGATCTTGGCAATTTTCGTTATACAATTTCACTTGTTAAATTATACCCAATTACTGCATCATGAGATTTACTAATTTATATTTGTTGGCATTCTGATGATAAGCCGAATGTATACAAATTTTGGCAAAATAAGCCCCCCCACCCATTTTTAAATTTTGTTTACTTTGTAAAAAATCAATTGGTACCTGGGGGCCTAGTCGCTATTTTTTGGTATATTTTTAGTCGTCAAGACAATATTTTTGTGCCCTATGTGGAAGTGGTCGAAACCCGGCTTGGCAGGGCCCCTATAAACCCAAAAGGGGTTGACGCTCGACAGAGAATATTTAAAAATGTTCATATATTGGCAATATATGAACACTTTTAATATCTCTGTCGAGCGTCAAGTCCTTGGTTTATAGAGGCCTGCCAAGCCGGGTTTTCTGACCACTTCCACATAGGGACAAAAATTTTTTTGTCTTGCGACTGAAATATACCAAAAAATAGCTGATAGGGCACCCAGTACCAACTTGATTTTTTACTAAGTAAACAAAGATTTAAAAATGGGGGGGGGGTTTTTATTTTGCCAAAATTTGTATACATTGGGCTTTCATCAAAATGCCAACAAATATAAAATTAGTAAATCTCATGATGCATTTAATTGGGTATAATTTAAAAAGTGAAATTGTATAACGAAAATTGCCAAGATCAGACGCAAAGGCAGTGAAAATATAATTGTCTAAGTTTTGAGGTGTGTAATGAGGGTTCACATTATTATTATTACTGTCACATTAATATAATGAAGGCTCATGGAGGTTGATCCTTGTGCGTTTACAAATACAGTGGCGAGGTCTGGTACAATATTCGATATTGATATATTTTTTAAAAAGTGGACAATGAATTTAAATAGTTTTTTGATCTGAAGACAATAATGAAAAGAGCCAAAAATAAGAGTTGCATTTATTGTTACTTTTGCAATACGGAATATTGCACAGAAGAAAATTCTTCTAACTTCCTAAAGTAATAGATAAGGCAATTTTTGGCACAAATTATTTTTTTAATTATGTTCTGTATAAGTATAAAAATTTACTAAATGTAAAAAAAAGAAAAACTTTTGTTTTTCTTTTTAGGTCACCTGCCTCAGTGGGAGACAGTGGTGTGTTCAAAAAAAATATATATATAAAAAAATCCATTTTTTTTTTTTGGTTAGTGATTGTACCTTTTGTATGTCATTCCAGTACAAATGCCCTCTTCTTTGGGGAACTGTTTATTTATTTTTTTAGAATAATTTTGAAAGTTTTTCTTCCTATCTCAGCCTAATATCTAACCCTTTGACTGTCGCGGCCGTATATATACGTCTTACGAGGGTACTGTGTTTGACGTATATATACTCATAAATTCTAGCGGCTTCAAATCAAGCAGGAGAAAGCTGGTAGGCCCACATGTGAGAGAATGGGTCTGTGTGGTCAGTATACACCATATAAAAAAAAATCCTGGAGCACGCAGTGCATAATGAGAAAAAAAAACCTCCGACCGTTTTTTTTAATTAAAATCCCGACTTTGTGGTCTATTTTCGTATGTATTTTTTGGTTGTATTCTCGTTTTCTTGGTCTCATTTGATAGAATGGAAAACATGTTATAGAAATAGAGGTTGACTTTGATTGATTTTACTATAAAAAGAAACCTAGAAATGGAGCTCAAAGTAGGGGAAATGTTTGATTTTTGCAATGTTCAAAAGTAAACAAATGATGCCATTGTCCAATAAATGTCCAACTAGCCATTCTAATATGCAGTCATGAATGGGTTGATGTTATTTATACAAATATTACAGTATTGCAGAAAGTCTGCATAATAGTAAGTCTTCTATTTTTTGCTTGAATAAAAATTCAAAAAAGAAAGCAAGAGTAAAATCAGAGGGGCCTGGAGACATGACTGATGAGCAAAGAAAAATGTTATTTAGAGCCAGGAATGTCTGCATTGTTCATTCTGGACCTTATTTTGAAATTACATATTTTTTTGTTTTCGTGAAATTGGCCAAATTGCAAATTTCTGACCACATTATTAGGTAGTTGAAATCGGTAAAATGGGCAGTTTCTTGTACTCAATCGATAGAAAAAATGGAGTTCTAAAGAAATAGCTATGAGTTTGGGCAACTAGAACAATGGAATTAGCCGAAAATAGGGCTCAAAGTGGGCGAAATCGCCGATTTGTAAACAGCGCCGAAGTCGCTAACTTCGCGAGAGCATAATTCCGTCAGTTTTCCATCAAATTTCGTTTTTTTGGTGTCATTACAATCGGGAAAAGATTCTCTATCATTTCATAAGAAATTTTTTTTTTTTTTCTTTTTTAAATTTTGCGACACCAGGAGACACCTCAGGATTGGGGGTTGCGACAGTCAAAGGGTTAACAATTAAAAAAATCTCAACAAAAACATAAACTGAATATTATTGTATGTCTGCTTCTAATACAATTATTATTTGTAACTTCAAGAAAATTTACTGCAGCAATTAATTCACTGATTTTGTTATTCTATAATGACCATGAAAATCAATCACATAATTTTTTTAACTTATGGTTAAAAAACTCAAGTTAACACTGTAAATGTTCTGACTCTGCCTCAGTGTACAACATTTGATGGTATTGATTATTTTAATGCTAACAGGGAGCTCAGGATGGTTTTGTAATGCATTATCAGCTTAACAGTAGACATTTTTTCAGTATTTTTCCCAGGCCTATGCTTTCCAACACACCAGTCTACTCTCATGCATTCTTACCTAATAAGATTCTTCACCGATTAAATTTCTCATTCATTCTATTAGTTCCGTAGTACAGCGGGTCAGTATTGAGCCCCAGTTTGTTTCCTCCAGGAAATGCAGCTAGAAAGCAATGACGATTGTTTTCTTCCTTTCAAATACAGTGTATTATATGCAAATATTTCTCAGACCTGCTGAGTACAACTTTGCTTTATAATGAAATAGTTAAATCATAAAACTATCTTTATTATAAAAAAATACATTATTCTCTAGTTGTCGAAAGTTTAAAAAAAAGGGGGGATATCAAGCTTTATGACATATCACATTATGGCAAAAACTTCCACAAAAATCTAGTCAATATTAATTTTATCAGTATAAAGAAACATAAGCCAAAACTCTGAAAAGATATAGACACTACACATTCTCTGATATTAGGGCATAGTACCCACATTTACTTACAGCACAGCCACAAAAACCATTGACAAACAATACCTACCCCCATAACTGCAAAAATGTAGAAAAAATTCTTACTGAATAATGAAAACTTATAGTAGTAACTAAGATTTTGTTTATAAATGTTTGCTGGAAATTCTTTGAGGGAATAATTTCAGGTTAGAAGCAACATAATGGTACCTTAACAATGACCACTGACATGTAAAGATGTATCAATTAAGTGTAATTAGTTTACATTAAAACTCAAAATGGCTATAAATAATATGGCAAACATTGCATGGAAAATTAAACTAAGCTTTGATAATGTGTTTGACACACTTCCACACTATGGAATAGTACTCTTAGCATAAAGCAAAGGTTAACTTTGATATTGCAACATAAAGGCCACAATGAAGCTAAGATACATAAGAATTATAACCTTGCCATTCTTCCTAGACCATGAGCCTAATTCCAGGAGTTGCAGACCATAAATGTAGGAACTTACTATAATATCATTACTGAAGGGCTCAAATTACACAAATAATATACTTCCAGGTACAAGTTAACAAAAATTTTTTAAATTATTGCTTATAAATAAATAAATTAATATGTAAACAGAGTGATCATAAAAAAAAGTCCTCTCTTACAATGATAGTTCAAATGTTATTGTTTTATTTAAATGAACCGAGTCAACAACACAGAAATTAAGCACTCGTTAAAAAATTCGTGAATTATCTAAAATCAGTTGCAGGCAAAATTTAAAAACAGCATTCCAAAACTAATAAAGTAGTAGAGAAAACTGAGAGCAAAAAAATATTTTGAAAAAGTATATTTCTTGGTGAGCAATCTACCTTCTAAGACTGATTAATAATGGATGGATTTCTATGCATTCAACTGGAATGTAATCTAATCTGCAACTACTTACAGAAGACACACTTTTGGGTATTTTCACAAGGCCATGAAGGTATATATACTGCAGTAACACTTCTTGTTACTTCAAGAATATTTACGACAGAATAAGAATAAAAATAACAATGGATTGAAATTAAGTTTTGGCTGTCAGAGACCAGACCACGACTAGCTGATGGAGGATCAAGCCTTTGCTACTCCTCGCTCTGAATGATACAATTTGGGTTTCAGTTCCTGTTAAATTTTTATATAATTATGAATGAAAAGAACATCGCCTCTTAAAATATACACATGTAACTCTTGCCCTTTAATCACACATACTGTAAATGCAGAAAAAAAAAAAAATTATACTGTACATCTTTTTGTCACCCAAATCAGTTGTACCTACATATGAGTTCATTATAAATATTTCAAAGCTTCTTTTTCTTATGTAATATCAATAATCACTTCTTTTAACACTTCTTTTATAATCCAGTATCAAACAAAAATTATGTAATATCATTCCTCACTTCTTTTATAATCCAGTATCAAGCAAAAATTACTACAAATTCAAAGAAATGGTCTTTTCAAAGTCATGGAGCTTATAGGGTTGGCATGACTCGTGAAAATGAGAAAAGAATGTATAGAGCTGTCTGGGCTATACCGCAAATCATGGCATGAATTGGTTGCAAAGAAATCTTGGCTTGGTATAACACAAACCCAACAGCGGCGCTGGTAGCCGCACACATTGTAAATGTAGTGCACATTCCAATGAGTATAATACACGCAGCTGAAAATCTGCAAATAATACAAACATTTTAGTTTTCAAACTACATTCACTGAACAAAAAACTAGCATTTAATTCAAATACATAAACCACAGTACATATAATATACATACTTAATGTCTGTAAAATCCAATCAATTTCTTTACAGTAAAATACATTATGAGGACATGTCTACAATAAAGTTATTCTTATTATTTTTTATTACCATTTATTTATATGCATACAGTACATTTAAACTTATTTATTCTAAATGGTACACACATTATAAATTAATCGACAAGTTTCATGCAAAATCTTACGAGTACATGTCACCCACTTAAGCTACTTGTTTTCTGTGAACAATTCAGAAAATTGTCACTCCCTGCTTCAAGACCAGGCCTCATATACTGAAAACATTACAGGAGTGAAAATAATCAATACACTCACACAACAGTCAAGATAAGTGTATGTAAACTAAATGTAGGTAAGGTAAAAGTTTGTAAGGATTACTTGACTGGATTAAGGTAAAACTGCAAGGCAATATACAAGTTCCATAGAAGCCTATTAAACAGGGATGTGCCAAAGTATCAGTACTGGAAATAGTGGACTTTGATGGCACTAAAGGTATCAGCCTGAAATTGAGTGTTGGAATTGCTTTCAGCTAATTCTGATGGCATAGGTATATTAAAGCCTAAAACTGAGTATCAGTACAGACTCTCCTCACTTAGCAATGTACTCGCTTACTGACAGCTCAGAGTTACGACCAGCTCTCCAACCAATATGCAAACCTAAGTAATGTATATTACAGTTGATTTCCTCTATTCTGTTTATTACAGTATACAGTACACTACTGTATAAACATTTTAAAATATACTAAAAATGTTATAAATGGTGCAAAAGAGACATTAAAAAATTATCTAAAGATGCTTGACACAAACCCATTACCAGTACAGACTGCACCTCACTCAACGACCAATTCGCTTACTGACCTACTCTTAGGAACACAACTTGGTCATTAAGTGAGGAGAGGCTGTATTGGCATTGGTATTGGCAATATTTTAGTATCACCCCCCTACTACTGTATTAAATATATTGCACTCCAGTACAATTGCTAGTACTATGTTTTCTTTCTGTCTGTCTCATGAACATACAATCAGCTAACACAATTGGTGACAGGAACTCTCTAAGATTTGAATGAAACTTATTTTATAATGCTGTACAGTACACAGGTATTGTGAACAGATACTGTGTCTTTACATGTAGTATATTGTATAGTATACAGTATACCTGTTATTGAATATAAAAGGTACTGAATATTTAAATGTACTGTAGTAGTAGGAGTAATAATAATAATAATAGTAACAATAATAGTAGTAGTAATAGTAGTAATAATAATAATAATAATAATAATAATAATAATAATAATAATAATAATAAATTCAAGCATGAAACCCAAATGGGTAACACAATGCAGTAATACTAATATAGGTTTCTTGTAGACTTAATAAATGCACACTTAATTACTATAAAAGATACTGTGAACTTGGCCAAAAAAAAAAATATTAAGAATTTTCAAAGGTTATATCTTACCTTCCATATTTATGTCGTCTGAGCATCAAAAATGCAATGATGGCTGACACAATATGGATAAATAATAGAGAGAAAAATCCCCAGAGGAATATTCTCTGCCATAATTCTGGGAAAGTCTCTAACGGTTTGGGATCGTTCCCCTCCGCATATGTTGTATCAAGTTGGGTACTGTAAGCAACGACAGCCTTCACACCTCTGAGAATCCCAACCAGAGGACCCCAGATTACTAATATTGCAATGGCCCTCAAGAGTACCACACCTAGACACCATCCTTTATGGTGCATTGTCCTCTTCATGCATTCTAGGATCTGAAAAAAACATTAGTCGAATTAACAAACAATAGAGAGCACGTTTTATTTGAATACATCGAAAAGTTTAACAATACTGCACAACAGAAAATAAAGTGATATGAAAAACCCAACCCAAGAAATGTTGACACCATCAGACTATTTTATTTATTATTCTCAAAAATATTTCTTATCTGTATCTGGAAATCCAAGGACTCCAGTAGAAAGAGGTCACTGACTTTTTGGGTTATCCTAAGTAATTTACACATGTCACTATATATGGTAACTGTACTTATATAGACCTGTACTGAAATAAACTTACTTATTTACTCGATCTCCAGGAGTTTTGTTAAGCCAATATTGGCTTGTTTAAGCTCGTGGAGAGCGAAACATTGCCGCTATAAAATGTCACACCAGTCGCACGTGTGTCTTTTTACCTAATACCTTCTACCTCAGGAGCCCATCACCAACATCAAGGCAGCACCTTCAAAGAATTATTAATTTAAATCGTACATTTAAATTTAAATTAAACAGAAACAACAAAATATGCACGTACAATGCCATCATACCAAATTTTAATTAGATGTTGCTACAGTACTTCTATACTTAGTTATAACTGAATAAAATTCCTATTCCAATTTGATTGACATGAAAGAGGGCAGAGCAAACATATACATATACTGTTTATATACAGGCATACTTCACTAACATGGCACTTTTTAAAAATATTTGTATTTATAAATAACAAAAAAAGGCACAATACCGTGACTGGAACAATGCACAAATAACCCGCACATAGGAGAGAGGAGCTTATGACGACGTTTCGGTCCATAACGTCGTTGTAAGCTCCTCTTTTCTATGTGCGGGTTATTTGTGTATTTATATTTATGATTTACAGTGCATGCCTTGCTCTTAAGATGGTCTTCAGCAATTTAAAAACAAAAATTTGATTTTTGCATCATTTTTAGGCCTAGTGCTATTGTGCACTTAATAAATAATAGTACAAACATATTTTAAGGCTTTTATGTGTGCTAGCAAGAAAAAAAATGGTTGCCATTTGCTCTGCGGCGATGGTCTGGAACCTAACCCGCCATATCAGTGAGGCATTCCTGTACCTAATATAGCACATACATTTTCATAGCCATCCCAATAGCCATCTCCAACCAAAATGACTCAGAGAAGAAAACGCATTCACCATCATTAAAGTGTCCCACAGCTCAATCGCAAGCGCACTCACCTCACACAATGAGGTCTGGAGTTTGAATCTCCTCCGGTACAGTTGGAAAACAATAGGGACGTGTTTCCGTAAGACCCCTGCTGTCCCTATTCACCCATCAGTGTACAATGGTTACCTGGGTGTTAATCGACTGGTGTGGGTCGCATCCTGGGACAAAACTGACCTAATTTGCCCGAAATGCTCTGCGTAACAAGTGGCTTTCTATATAATAATGATATATAATAATAATAATATATAATAATAATATATAATAATAATATATAATAATAATATAATAATAATAATATATAATAATAATAATATATAATAATAATTATATAATAATAATATATAATAATAATTATTATTATTATTATTATTATTTAATTTACATGTCTGCGGTAGGAAGGGGAGTGTGACAACCCTATTAACCCAGGAGGGTTATTTAACCCATCAAAGCCATTTAATAAGCCAGGTGGGATAAATATGGTTGGTTATTAACCCAGGATTGCTAAATAGGATTTAAGTTTCTTATCTAATTCAACGGAATTTTTTTTAATAAGGGGGGAGCACTAAACCCACAGGGGGCCATACAGCACCTGAGGAACGGGAAGCAAGGGGAAGGATAGGTCTGATTCTTTGGATCAAGAGCCCTGTGATGGCATGCAGGTGCCTCTCTCTTGAGAGATGTTATTACCTGAGGTGCACAGTGCACACCTAACTTGCCTCCTTGTGCACCTAACTACCCCCTTGTGATCACCTGAAGTGCACAGTGCACCTAACTACCCCTTGTGATTACCTGAAGTGCACAGTGCACCTAACTACCCCTTGTGATCACCTGAAGTGCACAGTGCACCTAACTACCCCTTGTGATCACCTGAAGTGCATGGTGCACCTAACTACCCCTCGTGACCACCTGAACCACACAGTGCACCTAACACCCTCCTCCTCGTGACCACCTGAACCACACGATGCACCTAACAACCTCCTCCTAGTGACCACCTGAACCACATAGTGCACCTAACACCCTCCTCCTCGTGACCACCTGAACCACACGGTGCACCTAACAACCTCCTCCTCGTGATCACCTGAACCACACAGTGCACCTAACAACCTCCTCCTAGTGACCACCTGAACCACACAGTGCACCTAACAACCTCCTCCTAGTGACCACCTGAACCACACAGAGCACCTAACAACCACCTCCTAGTGACCACCTGAACCACACAGTGCACCTAACAACCTCCTCCTAGTGACCACCTGAACCACACAGTGCACCTAACAACCTCCTCCTCGTGACCACCTGAACCACACAGTGCACCTAACAACCTCCTCCTAGTGACCACCTGAACCACACAGTGCACCTAACAACCTCCTCCTAGTGACCACCTGAACCACACAGTGCACCTAACAACCACCTCCTAGTGACCACCTGAACCACACAGTGCACCTAACAACCTCCTCCTAGTGACCACCTAAACCACACAGTGCACCTAACAACCTCCTCCTAGTGACCACCTGAACCACACAGTGCACCTAACAACCTCCTCCTAGTGACCACCTGAACCACACAGTGCACCTAACTACTACACCCAAACGCCACCTTATTACACCTGGTGAAGGCACCTAGCGTACCTGAAGACAACCACTCTGTGGCTGGGTATAGCACCTGCAGTGGAAAATACCTATTTTCTTCCCCAGAGAAGGAAAAAAATAAAATCTTGTCCTGATTTTAACCTCACTCTCCTGTCAATAAACAAACACTGTTGCCACAACCAACGGAAACGAACACCCTTATTTAAAAACTCATTTTACCGTATTTATACGTTATTTTACGCTATTTAGGCCGTATTTCACTGCCGTAGGATTCGTAACGTGATAGGAAACACTAAGTGATGAAATTGGGATATGTAAATTAGGTGGAATTGGAGATAGATTAAAAAAAATTGCATCCGATTTGTTGTACGACGACTTCATTTGCTTAAGTAAAAGTAATGTAAGTAAAAGTAAGTCAAGTGAGCTAGTAAGTAAAAGTAAAGCAAATAAAGTAAGTAAAGTAAGTAAAGCGAGTAAGTAAGTAAAGCAAAGGTAAACAATCTAAGTAAAGCGAGTTAGAAAAGTAAAGTAAATTAAGTTAATTAATATAAGTAAGTAAAGTAAGCAAGTAAAGTGAGTTAGTAGGTAAAGTGAGTTAGTACTTACTTATATATCTTCATTACGAGCCCCATACCCATCCACCAGCGAGTTAGTAAGTAAAATCAATTAAAATAAGTAAAATTTATTACTTTATGTAAAGCAAAAAAAAAGTAAATGAAGTCAGTAAAATAAATAAGTAAAGCTAAGATTTACTTTTTAAAGTGGTGAAAGGGGTAAGCCGGTGGAAGGTCTCGATCAGATGACCATAAGTAAAGACTCGCGTCAGGAAACACTTGTCCTGTTTTTTGATCAATCTCAACTCAGGGGAAACATGTCATTTTGATTTTTTATTGGGTTATTCTAGGTAATTGATATATGTTGCTATGTAGGATAATTCAGAAAAAATGGGTACCTGGGTGTTAGTGGAAATTTGTCTGGACTGCCTCCATGTGGGTTGTCTACCCTAGCAAACTGTTGACACCAAGCCCTGAGGCTGGTACCTCAGCCTCACAAGTGGCTTATAGGACAGATTTCCATAAATGACTGATGTTGCAAGAAATCTCGCCTGCATGCACGAATAAAGGACTAACTTATTTGGTGATGGAGAATTTATTTCGGTCTTTAACCTCCCTAAGTTTTAGCCCCGCTGGACTTCCCCTCAGAACCACGTGCAACCGGGAGCCTTAATTCCTGCAATATTCAGTCGGTATTAGTGACCTGCCTGCACCTCAGAAATTCCTATTTCCAAGGGGGGTGTATCCTCTAGTACAACTATGCAGGAAGTGACACTAGCTTCTAAGCTTAACAACGAGGAGACACCACGTACTGCTCATTGGCCGTCCGACTGCACAATGAGCCACAGTTCAACTCACTCGCAAATTCCCTCAGAAACTGGCCAGAATACTGAGAAAGAAAGGGAGGTCTTGTCTTACTGTATGGGCCTAACGGAGGAGGTCATCTACGGTACTTCGAGGTGCCTCCACCCGATTTCCCCAGGGTCTAGTATGTGTAGACACGTGGGACACCGCCCTGATGTTCCCGGCGGTGTGCCTCGTTCGGAGTTTCGACAAAGAAGGCACTGCGGTCTCATTCATTCATTCATTAGTGATTTGCCGGTACTTCCGGCCCGGGTCTTCTCCAGATGGCGACCCAGAGTGCGGTCTCAAAACCCCATGCCTTGGCATTCAAACTTGGGCTGCCAGTTCTCCCTAGCTAACATAACCTAGGGTCTGCCTATATTACCGGCCTATTACTATCTATGTTAAGGACTTAGGTCTACATTATTATTATTATCTACAGTTGCCTCAATAGTCCTAATATTAGTTCACTAACAGTATAAACTACCTACCTCTTCCTTGAAAGGTAAATCTATCAATTAAAATGTACCTTCCAACCACCTCCACCAACCCAGGTGTATGTGTGTTTTGGGTGGATGTAAGGGCCCCACAACCCAGCCGTTCCATCCCTGACATGATGGGATCTTCGTACGACGTATCTGCCCTGTGGAACTTTTTAGGACCGATTAAGTTTCCACGGTTAGTGTACTGGTGTGGGTCGCATCCTGGGTCAAAATTGACCTAATTTGTCAGTGATGTCAGGTATGGCCTTTATACCTTTTACATGTACTTGTAGAAATAAAGATATTAAAGTAGGAGAAACTTTTAGAGAAGGTGTGGTAGGTAAGTTTTGGGTGCCAGGTGTAAATGATAATGGTAGCCATTTGATGGAACTTTGTATAGAAAGGGGTTTAGCTATAGGTAATACATATTTTAAGAAAAAGAGGATAAATAAGTATACAACATATGATGTAGGGCGAAATGACAGTAGTTTGTTGGATTATGTAGTGGTAGATAAGACTGTTGAGTAGACTTCAGGATGTACATGTTTATAGAGGGGCCACAGATATATCAGATCACTTTTTAGTTGTAGCTACACTGAGAGTAAAAGGTAAATGGGATACAAGGAGAATAGAAGCATCAGAGAAGAGAGAGGTGAAGGTTTATAACTAAAAGAGGAGGCAGTTAGGGTAAGATATAAACAGCTATTGGAGGATAGATGGGCTAATGAGAGCATAGGCAATGGGGTCGAAGAGGTATGGGTTGGTTTAAAAATGTAGTGTTAGATGTTCAGCAGAAGTTTGTGGTGTACAGGAAAGTGGTGCGGGAGGGAAAGAGGGAGGATTGGTGAAATGAATGATGTAAAGAGAGTAGTAAGGGAGAAAAAGTTAGCATATGAGAAGTTTTTTACAAAGTAGAAGTGATGCAAGGAGGGAAGAGTATATGGAGAAAAAGAGAGAAGTTAAGAGAGTGGTGAAGCAATGTAAAAGAGAGCAAATGAGTGGGTGAGATGTTATCAACAAAATTTTGTTGAAAATAAGAAAAAGTTTTGGAGTGAGATTAACAAGTTAAGGAAGCCTAGAGAACAAATGGATTTGTCAGTTAAAAATAGGAGAGGAGAGTTATTAAATGGAGAGTTAGAGGTATTGGGAAGATGGAGGGAATATTTTGAGGAATTGTTAATGTTGATGAAGATAGGGAAGCTGTGATTTCGTGTATAGGGCAAGGAGGAATAACATCTTGTAGGAGTGAGGAAGAGCCAGTTGTGAGTGTGGGGGAAGTTCGTGAGGCAGTAGGTAAAATGAAACGGTGTAAGGCAGCCGGGATTGATGGGATAAAGATAGAAATGTTTAAAGCAGGTGGGGATAATATTTTGGAGTGGTTGGTGCAATTATTTAATAAATGTATGGAAAAGGGTAAGATACCTAGGGATTGGCAGAGAGCATGCATAGTTCCTTTGTATAAAGGCAAAGGGGACAAAAGAGAGTGCAAAAATTATAGGGGGATAAGTCTGTTGAGTGTACCTGGTAAAGTGTATGGTAGAGTTATTATTGAAAGAATTAAGAGTAAGACGGAGAATAGGATAGCAGTATGAACAAGGAGCTTTAGGAAAGGTAGGGGTGTGTGGACCAGGTGTTTACAGTGAAACATATAAGTGAACAGTATTTAGATAAGGTTAAAGAGGTTTTTGTGACATTTATGGATT